GGAACGCATCACAGGCTAATCGCCGGTGGAAATACTCGAATCGGCCGATGAAAATACACCTGAAAATCATAGTATTTTGGACTTTTTCGGGTTCAGTAAGAGCTATCAGAAATCTGATTTCACTGATGGATAGAGCTCGTCGAGTTGCATTTGGAACTCTTCTGGAACCCTCTGGAACGCATCACAGACGAATCGCCGGTGAAAATACTCGAATCGGCTGCTTACTTCACCTACTTCTTGTACTTCACGATTTCTTATTTGCTTCAACATATTTATGAAAGTGTTAGGTATTTGTTCACATAATTCAGGATTAGCTACAAATAGATTCAACCATGGTTGTATATATGATGCATTACGAATATTTTCAAGCAAATAAAGACTTTTAACTATTTGTAACATATATTTTTGCATTATTAGAGATGTTAAATCAGCTGAATTACTAGAATCATCAGTCAAAATTGTTGCAACTGGTTCATCATAAGATTCATCATTGAGTCCATCACGATTAAATTTTTTGTTTATGTTTGTGTATAAATGGTAAATAATTACATCTTTAAAGAATTGTAATCGTCTTAAATCATATAATAATTTATTTTTACATTGTTCACATGTAAAGTTCCATTCATTGTTTTCTTTTTTCTTTAGTGTTAAATCTATTTCTTCATACATTTTGTTCAATAAATCTTAATTTTGTATTCTAAACAAAATTCTTTAGAAAACAAAATAAAAGTTTCTAATTTAAACTTACTTCATATTTACAAGAATGTAACTTCTTTTAAAAAATCAAACAATAAAACGTTTGTCGTTTGTTTTTGTATTACACGAAAAATTGAATGTCTATAAAATTACAAGAAACACTTGGAAAAACGTATCTATACGAATATTGTTTTTTCTTAACATGCTGATTCATACAACTTGGTAACATACAACTATTCCATTCTCTTATCTACTTTAATTTCTTACTATGTTTCGCTAATATATATATGTATTCCACGTGATATGTAAAATCTTACTAACTCATCAAACATAGAAAACGAATATATTCATTTTTCTCTTCCGTTTCGTACGTTAATAGTAGTGGCGTAACCAGGGGGGAGGGGGGGGGCGGGAGAAATGGGACTTAGCCCATCATCCGGTTTTTTTAGTTACTAAACTTGACAATCAAAAAATCCAAAAGACTAGACCGTTTTGGGCAGAGCTGGGCAACTCAGCAGAAAAAAGTGAATTAATTCAATTCAATTCGTGAAAAAAACTTTTGAACTCAATTCAACTGAATTCATTGACTATGTATATTTTTTTCAACTCAACTCAATTCAAATTTAGTCATCTTAAAAAAATTCTCTACGCAACTCAATTCAATTGAGTCATATTAAAAGTTGTACTAAATTTAATTCGACTAGGTTGATGAAGTAAATCAAGTTGGTCATTTTTTGAATTGAGTTGCTCAGCTATGATAGATTTAGGTAAATGCACATGTGATTCATTAACTAGGTATGAAAGATGTAGACAGAAATTACAAAATAAAACGAAACAAGGACTAGATATTTGATTACTTTTATTATTTGAATTTAGTTTTCTGAAAAATAATTTTCGATTCTTTTTGAGTTAATTTCGATTCAATCACTACTCTTTGAAACTTTTTTCAATTCAATTCAATTCAGTCATACTAAAAAGTTGTACTCGATTCAATTCAACTAGGTTAATGAGTAGAATTGAGTTCGTCATTTTTCGAACTGAGTTGTCCATTTCTGGTTTTGAGGCTGAGCCCCATCACCCTTAAATTTCTGGTTACCCACTATTTCTAATGTCTTTCAAGATCTTCCGTTACATATTTTTATCTCACAAATTTTAATATCGATTAAGAATGTGGCATAAACGAATTGAAACTGTTTGTCTCAGTGCATCTCTAAGCTTAATACAATCGAGTAGATTTTTTTATTATCGATAGAAAATGTTGACAAAAATGTTTTTTTTGAAATAAAATAAATTTTATTGTAGATCAGAAGTTTACAATAAATTTGAATTATTCTTTTTCTCAATTTTTGTGAGAACGAAGCTTTTTTATCATTATTTTGTGAATTTAAAATATTACTACTTCCTTATTACAGATTCAAAAATCCAGCAGATTTTGTATCGACATAAAAATTATGAAGATCTTTATTTCTTGCATAATAAGACACTGATTTTAGTATTAGTATAAAATTGTAAAATAAATGTGTAGACAATTATTGAGTAGAATATATTTTGTTATAGAATTGTTGACGACAACAAGTTTATATAGTCTTTTATTTTCTAGAAGTCAATTATTCGTTATGAAGAGTTTTGATGAATATGGATATAGAAAGAGTAATGAGTAAATATATTCATTATTCAAAATGTAATTCTATTGGATAAGTAGTTTATAAAAAAAAATATTTAGTCAATCAAGAAAATAATTTGAAATTATTTAATGAGAATTTCAATAGAGGAAATGTTTAGTATTTTATTATTTCATACAAAAGAGTTTATATTACAAAGAAAAACAAGGTAAAATCTAATTTGAAATTGAAAAGTTTATTTGCATAGCCTTGACGAGAATAAAATACGTAATTCATAAAATCATTGTACTTTAAAAAATATCTTAAAAGAAATGTATCCATTAATTTTTAGAATATTATCATAACATATTTTCAATGAACAAAAGAAAAATTTAGCTCTCCTCCACTTCTTTTGTTAATAGTTAACTAATATATAATTATTTCATAAAACAAAGAATGTAGACCGTTTATTTCTAAATAGAAAGGTAAATTCAAATAATCAATATTGAAGTGATTCTTTTAATACAAATATATTTCACTCTACCATACTACCTTCTTTCATTCGAAGAATTTATAATTTTCTTCTTCTCTCTAAGCACGAGTTTTATATATAGATTTATGCATTTTCTTTGTCTTTACTTTGACCGTTTGGTTCTTTGTTATGCTCTATCGTGCGGGTGATGATGTAGATGTGAGTGTAGATGGTAGAAGAATGCAACATCCACACTCACTCACACCCACAACCATTTATTTACAAATCAATGAAAATCAAGCGAATTAAACTTACGCAGGGATTCAGAGACATAAAATGAGTTCAAACAAAATAACAAAGTACTTTCTAACATAACAATTATAGGTATTTCCTTAAATAGCATGTAAACTACCATCGCCACAATATATTTCCATAGAGTTTGGATGTATTCTATCTCCTACATCATAACCTATTAAATTAATATTCGTGTTTTCAATATGCACAAAAATATTCAGAAGATGTAACACATATTGCTCAGTTTTTGTAGAAGTATCTCCACCAATCATACAACAGCTGACCATACAACCATCTAGTATATTGTTTTTGTTTATTTCTCGAAATAATTGAACACATTGTTCATCATTAAGATTTCTTGCTAATGCAACTTTTTGTAAAACTTCAGAATATAATGTGAAAGCGATGCCTCGATCCAAATCAAGTGTATATAATGATTGATTATCTTTTATATCAGATATTTTATATAAACCAGAATACACTCTTATTCTATCCATAATTAATTAGATAAATTACAATAATACTTAAGGTTTGAAGGTCTTACACACTGATGATAGTTTCCAAGTTTGTATATGTTGGAAGAAAAGAAACGTTTTTATCTGAAAGAAGATAAATTTTAGATATGAATTTTTCTTTCTTACTATGCAACAAAAAATATGGCTTATAAACATAAAAAAGAATTTTATGAGGGTGTGGGTCAGAGTATAAATGTTTACGTCAGGTAAACATTATATTGATATTCACACCCACATCCTATTAATTTATTTTAATTCTAGCTTTCTTTCATTCTACATTAGAAATAGTAATGTGTTTAACTCACTCTCAACCTTGATAAATTATGAAAAACACTCCGTAAAAACCTTGTTCTTCTATAGTGATAATGCATGTTTATTATTGTTGCCGTAGATAAGAACATTACACATTATCATACGTTATAATTTTGCAAAATAGTTTCATATATATATATATTCATTTCGAATAATAAATATGATCTCGATCCTTCTCAGGCTACCAATCGAACTTATTTATTGTATTTTGGACAATCTTGATGAATTTACAATCGTATGTTCAGTCCGTGATGTTTGTGCCAGACTGAATATCATCACGGATACATATCACCGATATCAAGTAAATCTCGATCTTATTATTTATAGATGCATAATAATCTAGAGTGAGCTGTATGCCGGAAAATAGTAGATTTAAGGATGTAGATATGTTTTCTTTATCCACACCCTCTATTTATTTAGACACTCACTGTCCTTGATCTTCAAAACAAAGAAATAAATAATGACAATTTAGAACACTTTGCTCGTGCCTTACGATATAATTCAGTAAGATTAGAGTTCATATTTCAAACTTCGCTTTATTTTTTGTCGTAGAAAATCATGACTTTGGATATTTCGGAAAATAAGATCGGTGATCCAGGCATAAATCATTTAGTAAATGCATTACAAGATAATACAGTAATTTAAACTTACTGTGACTCTCTCTCCTTCGTATTCAATCAGTTTTATCATCTATTATAGACACTTGTAAAACTACATCTTCGAAAGAGTCAAATTGGTACAGGACTTTCACACTATTACAAGTTATTACTAAGATCAAATTTCCTTCAACCTCTTCGTCAGACAGGGTCCATCACTTTGACTTATAGAAATCATCTTAGCGTTGTTTATCTAGTAGACTTATTGAAAAATAATTCAGTTAAACGAACAGGCTTATTCTCCATATTATATTCATTGTGTTTATCTGATGTAGACACTTACACTGTTAGATCTTAGTTATAACCATATTAATAAGACGGACATTCAACAATTAATGAATGTATTACAAATCAATTCAGTAAGATATTTCTCAATCTATTATATTATTCATATATAAATATATTCAAAATAAATACAGACATTAACAACCTTGGATCTTTCACATAACGAAATCGATTCGGCAAGTACGCATGATATTGCAAATATGTTACAAAATAATAAAGTAATACAAAGTTTTTATCAATTGATTTTATCCTAATCTTTATCATTCAACATAGACACTCAAAATATTGTCTATTGCTTGGAATACAATCGGGGATGTCGGTGTTTACAATTTAGTAGATGCGCTAGAAAAAAATACCGTAAAATATATGTGGATTTCTTTTATTTTCAGTAAACTTAACTCTTTCTAACAGACACTGATCACACTTGATCTTCAAAAGAGTGATATCGGCGATAAAGGTGCACAATATTTAGCCAATGTGCTATCGCACAATTCAGTAAGATAATTGTCTATGATTGATTTGTTGCTTTGGTTTATGGCATTCTTTCAGACATTAGCAACATTGAATCTTTCGAAGAATAACATCAATGCTGTAGGGATAGAATATCTAGCAATTGCATTGCAAAATAATACAGTAAGATACATTCTTCTTTGATCATACTTTACATTGATTGTTGTTACTAAAAAAAGGGACTTAAAGCGCTAGATCTTTGGGATAATAACATCGGTGCAAGAGGTGCTCAACATTTAGCGAATGCATTACAAAATAACTCGGTACAATTATTATTATATTCAGTTATTTTAAATACACTTTTCTTTGCTGATCTATTAGACATTAACAACACTAAATGTTGGTTGGAATGAAATTGATATAACTGGTATAGAACATCTAGCAAATGCATTGCAAAACAACAACGTGATATTAATCATCTAGATTTATGAATTCTATATTTTTTGATTTTCTCTAATATAGACACTCAAATCTTTGGATCTTGGTTGGAACAATATTGAGAATGAATGCGCACAACATCTAACCGAAGCATTGCGAAAGAATTCAGTAGAAAACATTCTTTATAGATTGATCTTATTCTCATTTTTATAGACACTTGTCACGATGGTTCTTGTAGAAAATAAACTAAACGCTGTAGGTGCAAAATATATAGCTAATGGACTGCAGGATAATTCAGTAAAATAATTTCGCTTTTCATCTATCATATTATATGATTTATTTATGGTTTTAGACGTTAGTAGAACTGGATCTTTGTTGGAATACAATTGATATTGAAGGAGCAAAATATTTAGCAGATGCACTTCAATATAATTCAGTGAGATAAATTGTTTTTTTCTGATTTATCTCATACGAATGTAAATCATTTGACATAGACATTGAAGACATTGTATCTTAGAGGCAATGCTATCAAAAGTCAAGGCGCACAATATTTAGCCGATTCTTTAATGAATAATTCGGTAAGATCATATTTAATTGTACTTCTCTCATATTAAAATCAATACAGACACTTAAACATCTTGACATATCACTTAACTCTATTGCCATTGATGAAAAAGATGTTCTTATGAAACAATATAAATCTCATGGAGCATTGACTGTAGTGATGTGATACATGCTAATTATAAGTGGCACTGCTTGTTCTTTGTAATCTTTAAATGATTTTATAATTTTTATTCGCGAGAATAAATAGGATAAAAGAACGATGAGTTTTTAAATCCTTTTAGAACTTTTGAAATAATGCTTGATAGAAAAGCAATATAAAAAGATGTTCAGTGTAATTGCGATTGGATCTCGTTTGATGGTGCCGAATCTATTGTGGATTAGTCAGTAAAAAGTTTACTTTTTAGAAAATTTGAAACATACTATTCGAATATATCACAGTTGGTCTCCGAAGCGCTTGACCAAATGCGATCCCAGCTCCTAGTGCAATGAGACCAATGCCTAAACCATACCCTATTACTTTGGCACCAGCACCCAAGCTAGCGGATCCCTGTGTGATTCCACCGGCAAGACTTTGCGCTGTGTCTTGAACTCCTGATCCCATATGCACCTCCACTAAAAAGATAAAGATTAATGACATGTTACATTTGTATTAATTTGAAAAGTTTTATTTCAGAGAGATCGATTAATCACACACAAGAGTAACAGATTGATGGAAAATTCTGACACAAAATATTTCTATATTTCGCGTGTTTGAATGTACTGAGAAAGAGCGAGAAATACTGAGTTGAAAGCAGAATTTGATATCCCTTTAGAGAATATAGTTTGAAGGTGAATGTAGGTGCGGATCAGAATGTGGAATAGAAACCTCATATGTCTATGTATATGTATAGACTTTATAGATTCAACTATGAAATCATTTTATCTTTCGAATTCGTTGAAAGTTTGTTTTTTATATTGAACTTCATCGGAAGCATCGATTAAAATCTTTCTGACACTTAAAATCAAGACTAAAAATAAGGAATGGCAATATATCAATCGCAACTTACATGGTATCTTCATATTTTGGAAATTATAGTATATTTGATATTTGTATAGGACAATCGATCTGAAAAATTCAACAACCACATTTCTATAAATACCTCGATGAATTCTGTACAACTTGAAGGCATGGGTGTGGCTTTGAAGGTACGTGGCTGTTGATCTCGATGTGGATGTACGATGGTATGAATATCAAATGGAGATAGTACCCACATCCACCCTTTTGCTACAGAAAAATGCCATATCATACGATATGGCATATCACGAGAAAATGGCACAAGATAAGAAAAAGCTGCATCATAAGAAAATGGCACACTCTACATAGACCACCGTTGGATTGGCACAGCGATTAAATCTGATCTTTTGCAATTTCAAAAAAATGAATATGATACTGGTTTCGCACTACCTGGATTACTGCTACATACATCTAACTTTGATAAATCTCTTTTTTTCTCAATTTGTATGCATTGAACGGCGTTAAAATTAAAGTAACCTCCTCCTCCTCCTCCCCACTCGTCGCTCCATATTAGAAACCTCCATGGGTTTCTCATATATTTATCACCTAAAGCTTCTGGAGGGTGGTATCTATTGGGTCCAAAAAAGTTTTCATAGTCTGTGACTATAAAAACGATATGAAACATTTCTATAGATTTTCAAGATTTTTTGAGTCTTTCAAAAGATTTTAGCACAGCTAGATTGAAAATAGTGAAGTTTTTACTTTAAATTCGAAAAAATTTAGCAGTTTCAGTGTGAAAATTCGAAAAAAATTTGAAAATTGTGAAAAAATTTCTGGAAAAATCCGAAGGCTTCTAATATATCAAACACATTGCTCATCTCAAACGGGGTTTCTGATTTACGAAGGGGTTTATGAGAAGAATTAAAAATCAGGAGATAGTCTTAAAAGTCAGCTACTAAATTTAGAAGAAATACTATGAGAAGAAAGGTTCAAAAATCAGAAGTCTCCTGGTCAAATCAGAAGGTTTGGCAAACGTGATCCAAATGGATCCGTCGTATCATAGAAAAGCGATTGTATATCATTCAATATCCATAAAAAAAACATTATATAAAAAATCTCAACATTACTCAAATGCAGCTTTGCACACAACTGACAATATAATGTATAGATAGATTTAACACAACTTTTACGATAAATATTTATCATTATTTGGTTATATTAATAGTGTTTACTATCATACGTGTGATTCTTTAAAACATAATCTATCAAAACACAACAACGTGATCTGGTAGTCCTTTTTACTTATGTCTATAGATTTGGCACATTCATCTGATAAAAAATATGTAGGTGTTGTCAAATATATTCTTTTATTTGATAGACAATGAATGTCATGTATTAAGCATTTTGATTAGCAAAAAATATTCCAGATATTAAATTATTCGATTAAAACAAAAATTTACCTGACATAGTACCGAACCAAAAAATTATACGCTTAAACTAGAAACAAGAACAGAATGCATTTATCTTTTGAGATGTCTAAATTTCAATAATATAAGTTAATTCGTTTCGAAATATGTAATTTTATTTACTAGGACCGTCCTTTTATACAAGAATGAACGGTGGGTGTGGGTGTGAGTATATTATAATGCTTTACTCATAAAAACATTCATCCACACCCGCACCCATCTCAATTGATTTAAATAGGGTGATCTTGTTGCTGTGGTTAATCAAAACGATATGAATAGCAGAGATCCAAATGATTTGAATTGGTTTGTCGATAATGGAAGTATGTCTATCCCAGACATTGATTGTCTTTGAAAATCTATTGATTTGTTTCTAGTTACAAAAGGTTTATTACCTCGTTCAATTCTCATACCTCTCTCATCGGGTGAACGATCAGGTTTTCTATCTCATACACCACCAACTCCTCTTCGTTATGATATAATACCTATACAAACATCACTTCCATTAGCCCATACAAATCTAGCATTTAATTATGATCAATCACGTCATGTAAATCAAAAACATCCATTAACTCGAGCTAATACAGTACCAAAAACAACTTTAATAAATTCTTCACATGATTTTGAAAGTGATGAACGAATCTATTTAAATCAAATAACGGAAACTCATCAATATGCTTCCATTGATCTTGACGACTCTATTATTTCTGAATCAAATGAAGATGAACGAGTATGACATTTTAATACTAAATATCTAGTTCTATTCTCTAATATATATCTATATAATTTAGATTTACATAGCAATGTATGATTTTGAATGTACAAGTGATGGTGTACTTTCATTACATGTTGGTGAACGATTAAAAATTTTACGTCGATTAGATGATGGTGGAAATGATGATTGGTGGTATGTAGAAAAAATCAATGATATAACACAACGTGGTTATGTACCGGCTAATTATATCCAAACAGCTTAATGAAAGCAAATTGTATTCTTCTAATTTATTGATTCATTTGTCTTTCGTTCATCTAAGAGACAATTATTTCCAAACTAAACGTTTTCTTTTTGTATTTCTCGCATTTTAAAAATAAATTTTTCTGTCGATGTATTAATGTTGTTGAGTGATTTGTTTGTGAATGAGTCTCATTTCATGTCTATCTCCCACTTCAGTGTATTATATAAATAACAGTTATTGTTGCGATTTTTTTCTATTTATTTTTGTGTAAGATTATTAAATAAATTGGATAGATAACTGATTTGATAAATTAAATTAAATAAATATATATGCTATTGATGATTGTTAACATTGAATGGCTATTAATGTGAACTAATACGTAGAAAATGTAGGATATCTTTGAGCTAGATTTGTTGAATAATTGGTTTCAGGTAGAACTTGACGAGTTCTATCGATTTCACTTGTTACTTTTTTTATTCAGTACCTCTCTTGCACTCTCAAAACACGAAATATCAGAAAAAAAACATTAAAAAAAGTCGTGCCAATTCACGTCTATGTCGATTCCAAGTAAGTCAACATCAGCTCCAGAGTTCGTTCGTCGATTACTACTTAGAACCAGTCAATAGAGCAGGGACGGTGGATCATCTTCTAATCCGCTGATTCCCAAACATAATGGTCCTATTGACTCCACGGCGTCTGTCGAGTTGCACTGCATCATTCAAAGATTGTGTTCCAACATTGCCGATTGGATTCCTCCGGACATCTAGTGTGGTCAATGTCTAGATGAAAAAGTGGAGGTCAGGACATAGTATAGGTAAGGAGAGAATAAGAGTTACTTTGTTGTGTTGTAATGCATCACTCAACGATTGTGTTCCAACATCTCCGATTCCATTCTCTCGGAGGTTTAATGTTGTGAGTGTCTAGATGAGAAAATAGAGGTAAAGACATACTATAGATAGAGAGAGAATAAGAGTTACTGTGTTGTGTAGTAATGCCTGACCCAAAGATTGTGCTCCCATATCTCCGAGTTGGTTGGCGAAGAGATCTAGTGTGGTGAGTGTCTAGACCGAAAAGTAGAGGTGAAGACAGTATAAATAAGGAGAGAATAAGAATTACTGTGTTGTGTTGTAATGCATCACTTAAAGATTGTGCTCCAGCATTTCCGATTCGATTAAGATCCAGATTTAGTGTGGTGAGCGTCTAAATGAAAAAGTGGAGGTAAAGACATACTATAGATAGAGAGAGAATAAGAGTTACTGTGTTATTTTGTAATGCATCACTCAAGGATTGTGCGCCAATATCTCCGATTTCATTCTGTCGGAGATTTAGTGTGGTGAGTGTCTAAATGGGAAAGTAGAGGTAAAGACATAGTAGAGATAAGGAGTCAGTAAGAGTTACTGTGTTGTGCAGTAATACACGACCTAAAGATTGTGCTCCAACATCTCCGATTGCATTATATCGGAGATCTAGTGTGGTGAGTGTCTAGATGGAAAAGTGAAGATGTAGATATAGTACAAATAAGAAGAGAATAAGAGTTACTGTGTTGTGTTGTAATGCATCACTCAACGATTGTGCTCCAACATCTGTGATCCGGTGATACGAAAAATCTCGTACGGTGATTATCTAAATGGGAAAGTAGAGGTAAAGACATAGTAGAGATAAGGAGTCAGTAAGAGTTACCGTGTTGTGTAACAATACACGACTTAAAGATTGTGCTCCAATATTTCCGATTGCATTATATCGGAGATCTAGTGTGGTGAGTGTCTAGATGAACAATTGGAGGTGAAGACATGATATAGATAAAGAGAGAATAAGAATTACTGTGTTGTGTCGTAATGCATCAGCCAAAGATTGTGCTCCAACATCTCCGAATACATTATATTGGAGATTTAGTATGGTGATTGTCTAGATGAAAAAGTGGAGGTAGACATAGTACAGATAAGGAGGCAATACGAGTTACTCTGTTTTGTTGTAATCCATTACCCAAAGATTGTGCTCCAATATCTCCAATTACATTATATCGAAGATCTAGTGTGGTGAGTGTCTAGATGAAAAAGTGGAAGTAAAGACATACTACAGATAAAGAGAGAATAAGAGCTACTGTGTTGTCTAATAATGCACGACCCAAAGATTGTGCCCCAATATCTCCAAACCAATTATGCGAGAGATCTAGTACGGTGATTGTCTAGATGAAAAGGTGGAGGTAAAGACATAGTATAGATAAGGAGAGAATAAGAATTACTGTGTTGTGTAGCAATGCATTACCAAAAGACTGTGCTCCAGCATCGCCGATCCAATTATGCGAGAGATCTAGTGTGGTGGTTGTCTAGATGAAAAATTAGAGGTACAGACATGATATAGATAAGGAGAGAATAAGAATTACTGTATTGAGTAGTAATGCATCACCTAAAACTTGTGCTCCAATATCTCCGACTTGATTGCGTGCGAGATTTAGTGCGATGATTGTCTAGATGAAAAGCGAAGATGATGACATAGTACATTTAAGGAGAGAATAAGAGTTACTGTGTTGTGTTGTAATGTATGAGCTAAAGATTGTGCTCTAACATTTTCGATTTCATTATTTCGGAGATCTAGTGTGGTTAGTGTCTAAATGGAATCGTGAAAGTATAATTATGATACAGATGAAGAGAGACGGAATAGTTAGCCCGTGTTACGTGGGATCAGAGAAGTGAAGTAAAGGCTGTTGTGACTCCAGTGTAGGAGCTATGGATACAAATACGAGTGTTTATAGGATTTTATATGCTGGATAGTGAATGATGATGTTTTGTGAAAATCTAGACTGAAAAGAAGTTAACAGGGTACAACTGCGGATAAAAAGTTTTATCTTTGAGTTGGTGTAAATTCTAAATGTTTATGAAAGCAGAAAAGGGTTTCGGCTAATGAAAAATAATTTCCAAGACACTTCTCAACGAAACAGTTGAAAAGCTTAGTATGATGTGTTCAAGTAGCAATGTATTGCAGTGAATGGATCAGAGCTTAGTACAGTATGGTGCAGCGGTTGCTAGTATTCCTCAGAGATGACGAAAGAAAGTTTCTTGTCTGTGCTTAGTGAGTGGTTTTCTTTCACGTTTATTAATCAGATTCGAGATGCGTTTAATATTAGAACTTTGTTTGAGTTCTCGAACGTGGTCTTGTTGATCCTTATGATTTATATAAGTGAGACTATATGAACCATTCTGTGTAAGCCATCACCGAAATATACATGATCTGCTCAATTGGGGTCATCTGATTTTATTTATTTTAAGATATGGGTGTAAGTGACCGTAAGAAAAGAGTAATTATATCCCCACTCACATTGACCCACACGTATACCTTCAAGACAACTTATACAGCTCGCAGCTCGGATTATTTTCTATTCATGGTAGGCATGCCTGAAAACCAGTTGAACGAATGGATAGCGAATCACAGTAAATCCTAGTTTTCTTAGCCCAGAATTAGATTTTAAGAAACTGATTGATGAAAAGTTTACTCTCATAGAGACTTTTAAAACAAAAAATTATTAAATATAGCTCGTGCAACGAAGGAAATATTTTAATCCCTCGAGTCAGAAACCTTGTTTTGACAAAAACTCCAAACAACTTGCACGAATGGATTTCTGAAAACTTTTCTTTCAAATCTATGAAAAACATCAAATAAAGTTTTTACATTAGGCATTTTCACACAGAAGTATACAAAAATGATTGCCTTATTCAGTGACACACAGCTCATAATGAAGATTTCAAGCACACTTATTTACAAGCAATGTTTTATGAAAAATTGAGGCTCTGGAAAATCTTTGGAATTTTGTATGAAAGCATAATAATATAAACCAAGACTTTTAAATCCAGACTGCTATGCTAAAAGTTATATGGATTTTTAGAGGGGTCCTGTGGCATCTTTCTAGGTTAAAAATAACTTGTCTTTTTTCTGAAAAACGAAATTTTCTTGAAGGTGTGTAGTTATTCGGTTCCAGTTACATCCACACCCGCTCATTGTCAGAGGTATTTCTCAAGGAAGTATCGAGAACTTAACGTATAACAAGATAAACCAGTGTATTGACGATTAATTTTTGTAAAAAGCTGATTTTTATTATCGAAAGGGTATTTAAACAAAACGTGTTTACATACAGGTAAAAGGCAAATAACAATGTTTTATTTCTTTTTGTTCGTTCTTATCTAAACATTGTATGCTTATGGCATCATACCTAGTTTGAAACGTGAAATATATTGAGTTGAAAATGAAAAGAAAGAAAAAAAACAAATTTTTTTCTGATTATCAGAACACTATTTTCCTATTGTCATAGGAGTAAAAAGATACGTGATGAATTATTTTGAATGAGAAACAGTTTATTCATGAATGTTGTATTAGAGTCAATAGACAAAAGTTAAATTGTCATGATTGAAAAGACCTTACCGTATATCGATCGTAGCCATCTATGATGCTGTTGAAACGTTGGCATACGTTTCTCATTGAGAAGAGAATGGTGAACTTCGTTTGATGATCCAAAATTCGGTAGACAAGCTCTACCGGTAGTGTAAGGAAGTTAGCAATAGTTTGATTTGCCATTGTAGAATCCTAATCAAATGTATGATGTGTAACGTTGAATGTTGGTGAAATGATGTGTTGTTATTTTTTCTTTCCACCCGAATTAATATGTATTCCTCATGCATTATATATTACACATGATGTTGCAATTATTTGTTAAAAGAAAAAAAACTCGAAAAAATGATGTCAACTACATAGGGACAGAATCGGCATAGCAACTATACGCAACGTTTTTGTTGAGATTGTTTTATCGATATAAACTGGTATATAATAGACATCAATATTGTGTTCTTGATTGTAATTAGCAAAGGTTAAAAATGAATTTCTTTGTTATTTATGTTTATTTAAAATCTACATTGTCATTTGGTCGTAAAATCAAATATAAATATTTTACAAGATGGTACAGAATTTATTCTCATAAAATAGTTCGATATGTGAATCAAAGAAAGAAAAATTGTTAGTTTCATGATTGACGAATGTTACTAAAAGTTGACCTATTTTTGAACAAATTTGTCTGAAATATTAAAAATATTTTGCTTTATATATTGAATTTTTTTCAGAGAATGGGCGTGAGCGTAGTTATTCCTCTTAAAACATTACATTTACACCCACACCCACCCGCAAGCACTTCATTTCAGAGGAACTGACTTGTGCCTACCAATTTCTTAATAGGAGCTAATCTATGTCCATCAGTTCCCGTCAAAAGAACTAGTACACAGTTTCTATGATCAGAATTAATATGGAACTGTCTAATATATAGTAATTTCTTCAGATTTATTTAGACTCTGTTGATGACTATAAACTTATTTCTTGATCGTTATTTGATGGTATAACCATACAACAATTTATTTCTAAATAGAAATGTTTTCGATCACCAACAATAAAATCTTTCTGTTTGTATAGAGGGTGTGAGTGTAAGTATTCACTTCTTTTCTCATCTACACCCACACGCTCAATTACATCACAAATATATTTTATTCATTTTGTTATTTAAGAATTCGACATTAAATTAACATATCATTTCAAACAATAAAATATTATGATTTTTTTAGTTTTATATATTTTAAAAGATTAACTCGATTACAATTCATCTCTTTACTAATAAAATAAATATCTACAATGTTGTCATCTGATCTGAATATCATTTTCACTAAGGGTATGAGGGTGTAGAATTAAGATAGTGATTACACCCACACTACTCTTTTGAGATTATCATAAATAATAATCACTCGACAGTATTTCATTATTTCAAGAGACTTTCAATAGGGATTTAAATAATTTAAATTAATGAAAATGTTACTGTTTTATGCCTAATTATATGGACTCTGATAGTAGTTCATTAAACTTTGAAAAGTTATAAAAAGTATTAATAAAAGTTTACGATCCAATGTAATGTTATTATAATTGTTATTGTAATTTTTCCGGCACAGGTGTGAAATACAGTAGATTACTCAAATCACGTGGATCGAGCCAGATGGGTGAATTAGCAAATCGATCGGCCATATCTGTAAATCGTTTCGAATGCGGAACTCGAGATATACTCTCTGTTGCCAAAGCCAGAGCTTTCTGTTGTACTAACGATGTAAATCCGACAGTGAGGGACGCTGAATCCAATCAATCATATCAATCATCCAAAGCCGTTCAGTTTCTTCGAAGCTAAGTTTATGTAATTCAATTGCCTTAGAAGTAGTTCTTGTTAAAAGGATAAAATGATTAAGCCGACTAACTGGATTTGACAATGAACCGAACAAACGTTGTTGCATACCTAATGATGGAACATTGGTATATGTTGTATAGCTTGTTATACAGTCGAAACCATGGTGAATACCAGCTTGAGTCCCTTGCGCCAGAAGATTTATTGCAAGGTTTTGTCGTCGATGAGCTGGGTTAACGCGAGTTAAACGAGTAAATGAAACAGTCAACAAAGAAGATCCAAAGTATACAAGTTTCATATGACCAACCATAATAGCAACAACACGACCATCTTCGGGGTTTACCAATGTGAAGCAGCACGATTCGGGATATTGTTTCATGCAATGAAAGTAATCAATACATTCGCAATGAAATACAGTGGATAACTTATTGGTATCACCCACCGTTACTGATTTATAATTAATGGATTTGCATCGTTCAAATAAATTATTCATCTCAGTAATATCTTGTTCATAATTGTGCATTGAATACATACGAAACGTCAAGTCTGACGATTGTGTTGTCATAGTGAATTATTTTGAAACGTAAAATTATGATAATTTCTGATATAATAGACACTAGTGAAGAGTTGGTATAATAATATTTGTTTCAGTTATGACGAACTGCGTTTAAACTGTATTTTTGTCGTTCCATATATACTATGAGGAACAACAGTCAGTCCAATCACAGCAGAATACGAAATATAAGGACAAACTTGAAAGAAAACAAAGATTAGATTACGGTGGCGTGAGGGATGGCCATGTGATAGAAGGATAAACTGATCATATGATTTCAAAGTACGCATACAAGAAGATAAATATTTAGAACAAAAAGAAATTAAAAGTACGGCAAGGTGTTTCGCAATCATGTCATTCAAAAGTAAATAATGGGTCTGCCAATGTTGCCCTTGAGATAAAAGTTCATATTATATACCTCGACAAAGAATAAAAATCTAAAGATATAGCAGCAACCACAAAATATATATTTTATTATCAAGAACATAAATTTAACATTTAAACTATTAATTAAGCACGAAAAATAAGCTTTGATTTATTTTTAGTGTACAAACACTTGCATTTCTAGTAATAATCATATATTTGATGGAAATATTAATTACGATTTATTAGTGAACGGATAGTGTAATTATTCGTCGATGTACGCCTTAGTGTCTTAATATATGACTGAGACATTTAAAGATGGTCAAAGAAATTGTTTTTGAGTCTAACTAATGAGCTCATGAAGTTAATCATCTGCCTGCTTAAGAATATTTCACTTAAAATTATTTGACTTGCTTATTTATTTAAGCTTTTATTATCTTACAGGTCGTCACAAAAATGGCCTTATATCTTTTGTAATTGCTGTGTCACTATAATGAATTTATTTCTTCTTTCTTTACTGACGTATGTAAATTCTTCGTTGGACTCTGTTGCAGGTGCAAGCAATTGAATAAGTATATTCTTATCAGCTTCTAACTAGCAAGAAACTTCGAGAAACAATTATTAGATAAAGGTATGTCATTCAAAAATAACTTTCAGAGTATTATATGTCAGATAAAGTTCTCCCATTTTTAATGTATACGCACTTTGTCCGCATTCATTATATAAAAAGTACTAAATATAAAATCGATATGATTAAATTATTTAATGATAATTCGAATTCCACTCATTTGAACAAGATAATGGTATATATCCTTCTGTTTAATGTTTTTCGTTAAAATTTCTCAAAGATCCATCGGCGAACTTATTATTCTTTTGTCAAAAAAATATTTCTTATGTATCATGTTTTTTATAACACATTGTTATGTTTAAAATAAAGTATATTGATTAGATAATAGAAGTCTAACTCATACATCATAAAGAATCACATTAAATAATAATTTATCATAGATTTTATTTAGTTAAACTAAAAAAAAGAAGATAAAATGTGGATTTGAACATTCAATCCAACAGTACGCGCAACTCAACGGATGTCCTTGTGGCAGATTAGGACATTGAAATAGTCTAGCATCAATTTATGCAGTCTAAATCACATATTGACTCTGGTCCATTCACTAAACAGTCAGAAACTAGCTGATGTCAAACATCTCTGATAGTCGTCAGGAGTAATCTAAAAAAAATTTGAATAACTCATTTTCTTTGAATGAAATTGTCTTGTTATATCTTTTAAACTGATCATTAAAGGAAAGTAAAAGACGTAAAATGTAAGTGGAACGATTGTTTAATATCTGTGTATCATTTTTTTAAAATTATTGATGAATAATAAGATGCAATTAGAGTATAAACTAGAGACAAGAATAAAAATCATTCTATCGTTTACTGAAACCTTCATCAAGTGATAATTAACCATCATTTATTATATTACGATTAGAGAAATGAATATCATGCATTTATTACGTGGGATAAATTTCATTCTACAATCAGAATTGATCAAATACGACATACTTTTTCTTTACGTCATTATTGAGGTGTACCTAATCTCTTACATATTATTGTTGTTTCATCATAAACATACATATTATATTGATAAAAAAAAAAGAAGAACTCTATTCAAAGTAAAAGAATGAATAGAAGTAAAAAACGAAGATGAAGCATTCATACATTTCAAAGTAATAAAAGGGTATGAATTATTATCTTATAGGTTATTATAACAAAGTCCTTATATCTTTTGAAATTGCCGTGTGACTATAATGAATCTATTTCTTTTATCTTTACTGACATATGTAGATTCTTTGTTGGAGTGTTGCAGGCGCAAGCAGTTGAATAAGCATGTTCTTATCAGTTTCTAACTAATATGAAACTTCGAGAAACAGTTATTAGATAAAGTTATGTTATCGAAAAATAACATTTAGAGTTTTATATGGCAGATATAGTTCTCCCATTTTTACTGTATATGCACTTTGTCCGCATTCATTATGTAAAAAGTATTAAATATGAAATCGATATGATTAAATTATTTAAAGAAAATTCCGATTCGACTCATCTGAACAAGATGATGACATTTATTCTTCTGTCTAATGGTCACAAAAAATTCTTGAAAATGAAATGATTCATTTTTTACCCTTCTTTGATGAATATCTTCATTCAGACACATAATAATGATCTGAAAATTTCACATCTCTAGCATATATTTCAGGTAAGATTCGATTTTTAGGAGTAGAGAGGGATCAATGTGTCTTTGTTGAAGACAATTACGTACTCATGTACTTTGTCTTGTCAAATCCATTATGCCATCAAACTTATCGATTTCAATAACACAATTTTCTATCAGACTAATTAGAGACTTAAAATATTAAGACCAGAGTTCATAATAATAAATGCTTCATTTAATCTTTGAATATCAACAGAGCTTAATTGAAAAATCTATGGACGATATAGAATAATATCATGTTTTCTTTCGGTTATCAAGTGCAATTTAGAATGTCGTTTTTCATTTATCCAAATATATAGGAACGATGAGTTGCTCTCAAAAATCAAATACAAAATTTTAAAGATAATCTTAGACAATGGTCAATAATTTTATTTCAAAAAGAAAAACATTTCTGCTTTTATTTTGGTTGAAGTTGTCCATTGACACAATTATACATTGATTCTTTATAGCATGCATGAGGATTTGATCCACATGCTTTTTCACCTTTGAGACAAAGACGACCACCATCACACCAATACATATTTGGGTCAAATCCTTGTCCATTACAAACGTTGCCTGTTGATGGTTGTGATGTTGTTGGATTAGGTCCACTTGTTGTTGAACCACCAGATGGACAAAGAATAATTTCATAATTTGCTTTATGACATTGATAAGTACCTGTACAAAAAAACTTTAATACAAAATCAAAATAAATATATATATACTCACTAGCAAAATCATCAAATTGCCATGAATAAGCATCTGGACATTGTGATTTAAATACTTCATCATAACGTGTATTTTGTGTTGATCGTGGCCATTGTTCTACATAACATTTTCGACCTGGCGTCACATTATCATGTGGTGAAACCTTTTGTTAAGAAAAAAAAACAAAACACATTTCATAGATCATATGATAAAAATTAAAAATCTATCGTACACAATAATTTCCATCACAGGAACAACAGACAAGTGAACGGGTGTCTGGATTATTGTAGATATTTTGTAAATGAGTATGTTTAGCACGTTGTCCAGCATTATGAATAGCAGCACAAATACTAGCACAAACTTTATGACCAGCACCATCACCCATTTGTAATTCAGGTGGACATCTGTTTGCATCAAATGTACATGTAGCTGATCCACAATTGTATTGTCCCAATGATGGATTATTAACCATTGTATATTGACCAGGAATTGGTCGAATTGTCATACCAATTGAATGACCATCAACATTAGATAAATCATAATAATCTGATCCACCCCATCCATCTAATGTGAATTCAGCGATCGTAGCTGGTGGTTGACCACCAATACCATTACATTGTACACCAAAACCATTTATTGGAGCTCCACAATCCCCTATTTAGAAAATAAAATAAGGATTTATTAAGATTATAAGGAGCTATTTACCTGTAGCACATACAAGTTTTCCATTGACGGATTTACATCCAGTACGTGGCCAAATTCGTCCACTTACCTATTTATTGTTTAGTTAATACATATTCTAGATAGAAAAAAAATAGACATACCCATCCATCTGGAATATTGAGATCCAAAGATGAACGTATATTGACTTCAACACCACCACCATAAACTAATGGTTGCCCTTGTATACCAAACCATAGTTTTTGATCACAATTATTTGTGAGACGAAATGTACGTGCTGATACTGTTGTCGAAGCAACACATACAAATAAAATTGTTAACGATAACAAACGCATGCGAGATATGTATGAAAAATAATAATATTTGATATTGTTTTCGTACGAGTTTATATATGATTTTAAAGAGACAGAGAATAGCTTTTCTAATATGTAATTCAATCTAAAAGACAATTAATAAAGGATCAAGTAAATACGCAATTGGTAAGCACAGTTTCAAATGGACTTCATCATATAAATTAATCTTTTAATAGACAAAAAGTTACAAAATACATTTAAATCTAGCAAAAGTTTTAAAGTTTTTAATAATATGAATTAAAATATGTTGAGTGCACTTTGTATTTATGAGAGAAAGATATTATCTTAAAGAAAACTGTAATCAACAGGGTGTGGGTGTGGATCTTATTTAGTCACTATACTCACACCCACATATCCCCCCCCCCCTTCCAAAATCCCAGATCCGCCACTGACCCACACCCTAACGCCATCTATTCCATAAAAATATCAAATTTTAAAATTTATTCTTATCCAGTTTGATAGATCATCTCATTATATCAATGTCTAAAATTTTCTTCAATATTTCTTTTTCGAAAATAATTTTAAGAAGGTATAAATTTGTTTTTAATGGTTTATTTTCTACCCATTTACCATTCCATATTTTATGTCGAATGGATCATGTATATTTTTCACTGAATACGTCAAAACCAAAGTTCATTGATATTTTTGATACAATTTAT